ATATAAGTTGCATTATGCAATTATCTTCTCATACACAAACAAAACATCATTCATTACATGTTTCATCATGGCACAGAGTTGGAGAGAACCGGTCCATGGACCAAATTGGACTTTCTTTTTTGACGACATTCATCCTTTATAAGGAAAAATGGTTTGATACGCATGTAAGCAAGTATGTCCTGTACACCATGGCGCCACGTCGGCGACATAGCTCGGTCGGGGGAAGGGACAGTTCCGAAACGGAACGAATCTCACCGGATGTGCCAGCCAGTGTACCACGTACCGCACGATCGTCCGCGTTCGTTTCAGGCACGACTTCGCGTGCGGTGCGGAAATCGGTGTCATCCGGTGCTCTGTCATTAGTAAAGCACGTTTCGCACCTCGGAGATCGCGCGAGAGGACCGCTTGCTCTTTCGCGGCGGAAAAAATCCGCGGAAAAAACGCTCACGGACATTGCTCCCGTTACGCTTAACAAACTTAATCGTAAGAATAATTCCGAACAACGCGGTGAATTTCGATTCAATGTGGAATTTTTCAAAAATAAAATTTGCACAACAAAATAAAATGCCGCTGTACATTTTATTTTATTATGCAAATTTTATTTCTGAAAAATTTTACAATGGAATTTTATTTGCAATTATTCTCGTACATCTGCAAACATCATATTTTCCATTATAAGTTTTATTAGTGGAGAGGGGGAGGGGAACACGCAAGGTTATGCAATGAGAAGACCATTGTTAGAGTAGAAACACTTAGTTCGGATAATGTGTAGATTGCGTAATAAGTCAGGGAAACTGATCAGTTCGGTTTAAATAACGACACTTCTGTCGTCACCGTTGTTGAACACAATCGCTAATTACTCTAGTTTGTTGTGAAATAGTGTTCGTTTACACGATCCCATTCATCGCGATTTAACCGCGACGTTGCAGTAATTGTTAAATTGCTGGGTAGAATCGTATCTGAACCGATGCATCGGATGCAGAGATGAGGTTCATCTTTAATATGACACAATGACCGTGACACGTGAGCACCACGTTTTGTACGAAGGGTGCGCCTTCGGATCGATACGAAAACGTACGACACGATGCTGTAATTTTAATAGCGTTAAAAAAACAGCCTGGATTATCGCATGAAATAAGGAATTATTGTGAAAGAATACATCTCCAGTGATTTCTCTATCAATTCCATTCTCCCGAAGGGTGCGCTTCGATTTCTTTAAATAAATATGCAGAGTTCAATAATGGAGAAAAAGATCCAAGTAAAAAGTACACTTATAACGAATATAAAATGCTCAATTCGAAGAATTGATCGAAGAATTACAAGATTTTCTGTTCTTAATTTCATTCTCCCGCGCGCTTTCATCTCTCTAAATAAATGTATAGAGTTCAATAGTGAAGAAAAGGATTCAAGTAAATAGTATTTATGACGAATAAAGAATGCTCAGCGAATAAAAAATGCATATCGAAGATTTAATCCAAAGTGATTCTCGATTTTCAGCTCCTGTGCGCTTTCATTTCTTTAAATAAATATGCAGAGTTCAATAATGGAGAAAAGGATTCAAATAAATAGTACTCGTTATGACGAGCAAAAAATGCTTGGCATATCGAAGAATTAATCCAAGCGGTTTTTTAATAAAGCAAGTGATTTGTGTATCTACCAGCACACATAATCATATATTTCTTTTTAATCGAATTCTTTTTACTATTTAAAAATATGCTATGTAAAAATATCGAGTGAATCATCCAGAAGTTACTAGTTTTATGAGATACCTTTTAATTTTCCGTCAGGAAATACATCGGAATAAAATTCCCGTTCCTTTGAACACGTTTATAAACTCGCGTTGCGCAATTTTGCATTTCAGCAAGTCTCTCCTACGACAGAATATTTATTTACCTTACAATGTAATAATGCCCACGATGTCTGCGGACATCGAACATCTTCCTCTCCGTAATGGGTTCCCGATTACCGGGTGACGTCAAAGCGTCAACAATCGTCATCACAGACATCGTGTCGTGCGGCGCTACGGCACTAATTTCCGATGGTAACGAAGGCTAGAAATGGTAAATACATAAATACAGTTCGAGCCGATTTATGCAAATATACATGATTGCGATACCGGCGGCGAAATGCGCGACACGCGATTCGTAGTAATGTCACTGTCATGATAGCGCGCGCTGTGTCACAACTTGATGATTCTCCGCGCCAATTAAGTCGAGCGTGACGTAATGGAGAATGGTTTTCCTGAAACGCGATCTAATTTCCTCCAGGTGTTTCCTAATTTCCTCACAAAAGCGATACGCGACGGATGGGCGACTCGTGTTATTTCGCGCCGAGCTATCTACAACGTCACATCGATCCGGAATTCTCCGGATCTTTCTTTTACCATTTTTATTTACAAATCGGTGTAATTGCGTGTTGATTGGATGCGAGTACATATAACTGTTGGGACTTACCGCCGGCATGCAATAACAGAAATTATCGATAGGAACTTGTTTTAAGACTCAAGATTTTTGTTAAAGTAAGTAAAGTGGTTAATCTTCGAATGTAGAACTGTTAGCATTGGCAATCGTTCCAAATATCCATCAGAATAGTGCATTTCCAGACATCTGGTGTAAATCAAACATCCGATAGATATTCCTTTGATTCACACGGCGCTAGATTTACCGCATTGACTTGAATAGATCTGAATAAATAGAGAGAATTTCAAACATTCTCAAAGAGACATTCTCAAAACTCTTAGACGTCCGACATAAATCATTTATGATTTGTATCATCGTTATTATATGAAATTATATTCTATCAAAAATTTCATATACTATGTAAACTATTAGACGAATCAGACAACTAGAAACTTTGCATTTCTCAAATATTTATACAGAAACAAAAAAACGATTTAGTTATAAAAATTTGACCAGATACAGATCCTACAAAAATGACTTTGTAGGATCGTTGAAATAATTATGTAAAACAAGTTGATTATTAAAATATATCAAAATTTGCAGTATATTATTGCAGTTTATTCTTTCCATATATCAATGTAATTTTCAATGATTGAGAATCAATAATTTGAAATATGAAATAATTTCAAATATCAATAATTAAATTTAATAACATAATTTTCAAAAATTAATTTTAAAAAATCAATGCATATTAAATGAGTTTAGAGAATATAAATATATAATATATAATATATATATAATATATAATAATATATAATATATAATATATAATATATATATATATATATATAATAAAAATCGAATTAAAGAATTTTGAAAACTACTACAAACCTAAACCTTTTTAGAATTAGGAATACAATACAATAACAAAAGATAATTGCCTTGCTCGCGTATCAACGATGATTAACCTTCTCACAGTCATAACTCGTGCAGCCTTGATAAAGAATCGACGTTGTAACATTGATAGTGGTACTGCAAAAAAGTGAGGTTAATCAGCGAGAACAAAGATTTATCTCGACGTCGTCAAGAAGATATTCGATTAGTGCGATAAATTGGACGGACTTTCGCTGGAATTTTGATAATTCGCCGATCCTATCGAGCTGAGAATTTTTAATTATAAAATGAATTCTTACGGATGGAAAAAGGAGATATGCGAGCCGGAATTCGTCCGACAAGATACAAAGAAGGTAGAGGTGAGTATCATATCTTATATCATCTTATATAACTTGTGACGTGACATACTTAGCAGTTAACTTCAGCGGCAATTCATAACAACCGAGTTAACGCGAGTATGATCTGGTTAATTAGTTATTATCGCGAGTATCTCGCCACTTGTTCGCCGTCCGGTTGCGTCCGCCGCGTTTTGAAATGGCGCGCACACGTTGTATTGAGACTCTTTCAAAATGGCGGCGAGACAAAAGGCGGACGCCGCAATTGGCTGGATTTAAAGGTGGCGGACCAATCGCGCTCGGCCATTGTAACCTGAGACATTGCTGAAAGGTGAGCTCTCACTTTCTCAAGGTCATTTCGGGAATCGCGTGCACCTCGTGCGCGTGACTAAACAGGAAAGCGAGGGAGAGCCATGGGTGAGGGTTAGGCTCGTGAATTGTGCCCGGCTCGCAGAAGCCTGTAACGGTTCTGCGTCCGCTCTATCGGAGCAGCAGGCGGAGCATCTTCTCGCTTCCCGGTGATTCGTGCCAGTTTAGTGGTACGCGGACATCCGGACGAATTCGTCGCAGCCTCCAGCTCCACGTAGTTCACTCGAATAGATATTCCCGAGATAATTATTTCGTAGTTATTCGAAATTTGGGCGTAGCCGCGAGGAACGAGAGCGATGAGCTACTATGGAGGTTATGGAGGTTACGGAGGCTACGGAGGCGACGGAAGTGGCGCCGAGGAGGATGTGTTTGTTAAAACGGCGGTCGAGATCAAGCGATTCCTACCGTCGCTCTTCAATATCAAAGTGGTACGCCTATGTATTTGTCTCAGAGGCGAAGGGCCGGCAGTCGATGAGTCATGAAGCACGCAAATTCCGTTCTTTCTGCGTCCTTCTGCGTTATCCTGATAGATAATTTTTTTCGCGAGCTTATCTCTTTCTCAGAGCTTATCTCGCCAAAACAAATTTGACAAACTAAATCTGCCGACGTCAGATGTATATATATACTTTCAAGACGTGTATTGATTTTATTATTTCTTTTTTGTTTTCTCTCTTCGTTTCTAAATAATTATCATTTAAGTTAATCATATTTCATTAATAATGATTATGAGAATTATAATTAAAATTAAGGTAATTAGCAGGTGCTTCTTGGATGCATGTTTATTTAATGATAATAACGGACTAATGAAAATTTAAATACAGATAAAGCATGTATATATAATTAAATCGTTTTTTCAGAAATCTGATAATGATAATTTATTATGTACACATTCTGATTTATTTCTTACACTTGAGATTGTAATTTATTGTGTACACATTCTTCGGATTTATCTCTTGCACTTGAGATATATGTATCATGATTTCTCAATATCTTCATAATATTATCTTTATTTTTAAAAAATCAATATTAAATTGGTCAAAGAATCATTTAGGAGAATATAATAATTTTCAAACATTCTGTATAACAGGATATATCGTTGAATAAAGATGTTACGAACACAAGCTAATGAGCTTCTTCAAATAAAAGCTGGACTAAACATTTAATCAAATCATGTAACATTTACACAGCATATTGGGAATAAAAGATAACACCGAGAAAGTTTACACAACTGATAAATTTCATTCATTCAATACCTTCTCCTACTTTCCTCTGCTTTACAAATAAATATTAAAAATCTACAACATTACAAGTCAGTTTTTTCAGTTCTTTTTTTCTCGCAATGACACTCTTTAACTCTTTAATGTCACACATAATTATTCACATCGTTTACAATACATGCATGCAAGGTGTTCTAATAACACCGATGGTGATGGCAATAATGATGACGACATTATACGAGAAATGTATAATGGATACAATACATTCTTGCACGATACGTATTCATTTAATAGAATAATGTGCGTCATAGCATGTGTCAGTACGACATATGCCGTCCGCGTTTTTCTCAAGAGCATGTAAATTATTTAAATTCCAACGAAGAATTTTAAAATTTAGCTTATAAACCACAATCGCAAAACTGAAAAAAGTAACGAAGTGAATGAAAAATGAAATGGAATGTAAAAAATAATAATTAAAGATAATTATCTAATTAAATAAAATTATATGAACTAAATAATCGAATTTTTAGAAATAGTCTCATTCAAATAATTTTGACTTATAATTTAAAATATTTATAATTTAAAATTTAAATATTTTATTGTTTAGTTTATATGAATTATTTTCTCTTAAAAAAACCTATGGTCTTTTCTTTGACAACTATCTTTCTTTATGTGTTATCAGATTATAATTAAAAAGTTTTTACTTTAAATATTTTTTGAATAATATAATTAATAATATATTTATAAAATAAATGATAATATATTGAACACAGATTGAAGTCTAAGTAAAATTCTGAACGTTTTATTTTCAAATGCTGAGTTTGGAAAGATTATTCACATATTTGTGCATTTGCACTCTGTATTTTTTTTTATAACTACCTTCTGAAGACTCAATTATTAAGTTTCTTGATAGATATTTACAAATACTCTATTACAAAATGATAAGAAAATAGACTCAAATAGACTCTATTACAAAATATAAGAAAATAGACTCAAGACTCAAAACAAAATATAAGAATGCTCATTGCAGGAAGTATTTCTTATTATTAATTTTTGTTT